GGACACCCCACCCCGCCGCCCCCAGGCCCCAGCGTGACATCATCTACCGCGCGCTGCTGCGCCACATGTCGTCAGAGCACAAGTTCAGCACCAGCGCCAAGCTCGCCAACGAGGTGCGTGGGGAGGGAGGGGTGGGAGCGCAACGCCGCGCCGCACGTCCCACGGGTGTGCTCTGATGGGTGTGTATACATGCAGCAGCGGCGGCGCCGGCGCCGGCGCCGGCGCCGGCAGTGGCGGCACGGCAGAGGTGGGCCAGAGCAGTACAGGCGCCGCAGAGCGGAGCATCCGTTTCTTGATTCGTTGGCGCAGCCAAGGGCGCTGGCGACTCGGCGCCTCACTCTCAACACGGCAACGGACCAAGTCTTTCACCTGCCGCGCGGGAAGCCCTCATGCAGCCGTCCGCTTCGAGCGCCGCCCACCGCCCCGCGCCTCCAAATGGACAGCGCCCACCCTGTCCCCACCTGTCCGGCTGCAAGCAATCCTCGTGGACGCCCTCAATAATTGAAGATTGGGCATCCCTGCCCGTCGCTGACCCCCTCTCTTCAGGTCCTGGCGGGTGTGGCGGACGGCCTGCTGCCGCTGGAGGAGGCGGGGGAGGTGCTGAGGGACGCGCTGACCGTGCTGAGCTGCAAGGAGATCAAGGTGTGGGGGCAAGACGAGGGGTGACAATGTGTGCATCTGTGTGTGTGTGTGTGTGTCCTGCTGGTGCAGCTGCAGGAAGCAGCCCCCGCTGACGCCAGGGCTCGCATCTGCAAGCGGCTCTCCGCAACGCCAGCCGGCCCAACTGAACTGCGCCCAGTCCTGCAGTCGAACTCCTGCCCCCACATGTCGCTCGTGCGACCCCCCCCCCTGGTCGATCAGGTGACTGCCAGCCGCCTCGCGACGGGGGACGACGAGGAGGCGGCCGCCGGGGGCCTCAACGGGCCCGCCGGCACTGGCGCCGAGGCCGCGGCGCGGGCGCGGGGCCGTCTGGTGTCAGCGATGATGAAGCGGCACCTAGTGGAGAGCGTGGTGGGTGGGGATGGCGGGTGCACTCTTTTGACGCTGCACTGGCGCACGTTTGTTATGAGGGATTCCGCTCAAAGTGGCGTCAATTTGAGTCAAGGACACTTCGAATTCCGCCTGATGTTCAACAGCCAACGCTGCGATGCAGCACAATCCACAAGACAGTGACGGGCTTGGAACACTGCTGTGCATTGACCCATCTATTCCCCACTTCTCAACTCTCCACCTCACTCACACACACACGCTCTCTGTCACTCACACGCACACACATGCACACCTTCTCACATACGCCCTCAAACACCCACACACCTGCACACCAACTTGCGCGTGCGTGCGCCCCCACAACCAGGTGCCCGTAATGGTCGAGCTGCGGCGCCTGCTGGGGGAGGCGCGCAGCCCCCTGATGGGCGACCTCATGGCCACCTTCTCCGCGCTGCTCAAGGAGTACAAGGGCGAGGTGGAGGAGATACTGGTGGCAGACAAACAGGTGGGCCACCTGGGCCGCGATGGGGTCTCCTGCAGGGGGGGCGCTGAACGAGTGTCCGGTTTGACTGATGGCCCCAGCGTGCACGCGCAGATGGGTGTTATCGCAGCAGCCGGGACAGTAGCTGCTCCGCTCGGAGCGCGGCGTCGTCCCTACCGAGCACCGCCTTAGACTCTTCTGCGGGCCCGGGCCCCGGGTTGCTGATGCGTCGGTCATGGGCGCGCCACCTGCTTGTCCTTTAAGCGGCGTGCCTCCAGCCCGGCGCCCCTTGCAATAATCTTGCTTGGGGTCGCCACTTTGCGCTTCCGACCACTCACTGCACCACAAACACATCCCGCCGTGGCAATTTGTCAACACTCCTGCCCTCCCACCACCCACCTACCCACCTCTCAAATCAATAACCTCACCACCTGTGACAGCTGGCGCGAGAGATCCTGTATGACATCAAGCAGGCGGAGCTGGAGAGGCAGCAGGCCGCCGCCGCCGCGGCCGCCGCCAAGACCCCTGCCGCGCCGCCCGGCCAGGGCGGCGGTGGCGCAGCAGCTGAGCGCGGCGGCAGCGGCGGCATGGCGGCTGGCGGGTTTGGGTCCCCGCTGCCGGCGGGGGTGCTGCCAGGTGAGAAGCGGGAGAGAGGGGGCAAGGCGCGAGCCTGTAGTGAGACACGCGCGGGTGCTCGCACAGTCCGTGCTCAACGCTACCACAGTAAATCCGCGCTGCCTGCGAAAGGTGCATTCAGCCAGCTGCACCTTCTAGTCCAGCCCAGCTGACACAACCACTTGCAAAAGCCGGCCCCCTTGCATTGGCATGACCCAAACATTCACAGGCACACCGATCGCCGCGGAGGTGCTGGCGACTGCAGAGCGCCACAGGGCCCAACGCATGCAGGCCGCGCGCAGCCAGCAGCAGCCGCCCGCCCAGGGCGCCGCGGCCGCCGCGGCGCTCGGCACGCCGCTCGGCCCCCACGCCGGCGCCGGCGCGCCGCGGACGCCGTTCACAGCCGCAGCCGGCGGCGCAGGCGGTCAGCGGTCGCGGCTGAGCATGCAGGCGCCGGCGACAGGCGGGAAGGGGCTGCGCACGCCTGGCGGGTTCGCGCTGGCGGCCACGCCGGCGCCGCTCTCCACGCG